AGCCGCGCTATGCTAGCGCTGAAGCCCTACCACTATCTTCGACTACAACTACTACTACGAAGAGTGCCTAGCAAATGCCTGAAGAATGCCTGCTGAAACTGAGGCCGACCAGCTATAAGTAGCGCTGGTCCGGCCTCAGGAAGTGACCTGAGTGGGAACTTTGGCGCCTAACTTGGCGCCCAAACGAAAAGGAGTTTGGCGCCTAAACTGGCGCCCAGGGCCTGTGCCCTTGGAAATGGTGCCCGGGGCCTGAAACAGCGCCCAGGGCCTGTGCCCTTGAAAATGGCGCCCGGGGCCTGAAACGGCGCCCAGGGCCTGTGCCCCCTGCTGCCGGCTTAACTGGGCCTCTAACCGGGGGCCTGGCACTTACGAAACGACGCGGCAGGGCCTAGTGCTAATCTGGCCTACTCGGCCTACTAACCCCCCTAACCCCTACACCTACGGACCGGGCCCTGCGGAGGGCCCGTGTGGAACCAAGAATGCCATACCCCCCCCTCCTTGAAAGACCGAGCTTACCTGTGAGGGCGAATCTGTCTGTTGGAGGGAGGGACCGAAGTCCGGGTGGGAGGGGCAGGTTGTGAAGCTTCCTTCGCTACTCGTTGCTTTTCGTAGTGGGCGTAAGATAAGCAGTGTGGAGCCTTGTAAGTCTGTGCATGAAATCCACAATGTATCGTCCCGGTCGCACTACTTGAATGTGACTTTGTACTGCATTGGCTTGTTGCCATACTTGCGGTGCGTGACGACGCGATCGATCTCCTGATGGCCATCCATAGAAGGATGGTCCTGCGACCGTCGGTCCGGGAACTGGACGCTCTTGGCTGGTGTATACGTAGCCAGCTTAGAGCCGCGAAAAAAAGGGTGGACCGTTAGATGTGACGAGATTTCGATCACAAATGATGGGCCATCGGGCTCGTCGCCCGCGGCAAATGTGACGGTCCAATGTCCAAACCACTTGGGGAGTAGCTTGGGCGAAACGTCTTGCTCGAGTGCAAACTCTTCCCCAGAGACCCAGACAAGGTCACCGGCGCGGATAGGACATGGCATGCGACGCCGATTGGCTTGCTGCTGCAAGCGGACCTGAGCCTTTTGCATGTTTGCGCGGGCTTGGGCCAGCAAGTCCCAGTACTTCGGAACGGAGGCGGGAGAGCAAGGGGCGTCAATGTCGACAGCCTGTGGGAATAAAAGATCAGCGAAGATACGGCCTTTCCGGCCACCGTGGTGCAACTCAAAGGGAGTCACGCCGATCGTTGGATGCAACAATGTGTTGTAGGCGAACTTGATGTCGGGGAGGCGGTCAACCCAATCCTTTTGGTCCGGACGGATGAGCGTACGGAGCATCATTTGAGCGGTTTGATGTGCCCACTCCATTTGCCCTTCCATTTGTTGATGCCAAGTCGAACTCGGTTTCATTTCGGTGTCGGACTCCTTCATGAGAAAAGTCCAAAATGCCAACATGAAGCGAGTGTCGCGGTCGCTGACGATGTCCTCCGGAACGCCGTGGCTGCAAATCCAGTCGGTGTGCAAGAGTCGCGCGAGCTCAGAAGTCGTGGCGTGATACTTGCAAGGAAGAAATCGCACGTACTTACTCAAACGGTCAACGGATGTGAGAATGTCGTCGTGCCCGAAGCGATCGCGGGGGAACGGGCCGGTGACGTCCATAACAATGGAGCAGTCGGGTTCCCGAGGGATAGGCAACGGGCGCAACTCGCCATGGGGGTTGTGATTGCGGGGTTCGCTTCGTCGGCAAACTTAGCAAGATTCGCAATACCGAGTGACATCGGTACTGAGGTCGGCCCACAGGAATCGTTGTCAAAGTCCTGCGATTGTACGGTTGACTCTGAAGTGGCTGGCGAGTCGCGAGTCGCGGTACTCGCCGAGAAGGTGAGTTCGTAATCGACGATCTCGTGGGACGCATAGTAAGTCCTCGCCTTGTGAATGGAGAAGCAAGTGGTCGTCGGCGATGCAGTAGTGGTTGGCCGGCGGGTGATCCTAAGAAAGTTGCTCGTAAAGAGTGGCGTATTCCGGATCAGACTTGTATGCACGTACAAAATGCTGATGAAGTTCATTGTCGAAGTCGAACGCATGATGGATTGCTGCGCAAAGGTCTGATCTTCGCGAGAGAGCATTCGCGGCTCGCTTGGAGAGACCCGAAATGTGCTTCGGTGTGAAGTCGAATTGGTCGATGAAATGCATCCACCGAGCAATCATGCTACTCACCATGTCTAGCGTCTTGTAGTAGGCTGATGGGTTACTATCCGTTGCCCAAGTGAACCTACGACGCCCGAGGAGGAAGTGTTGCCAACGCTTGAGTACCGTGACGAATGCAAGCAACTCCTTTCGCGCATCATCAATCGAGTTAATGGGTGGCACTTTTCGGCTGAAGTACTCAACCTGATGCCAATCTACTCCGTCGTGTTGTTCCAAAACTGCACCAATTCCATAGCCGGAAGTGTTCGCGGTCACTCTCGTTGGCGAGGTGGCCAATCCCATGAAAGAACGCACTTTTGTAATGTTGGTCAGTTTCGACCAATCTTGAATGACATTGATCTTGTCCACGAGCGGACGGATGCCTTGCGGCATCACAAAGTGGCCCAAGTACTCGAGCTCTTGTTGCGCAAATTTGCACTTGGCTCGATTAGCCTTGTACTTGGTCGTACGTAACCTGTCCAAAACGATGTGTAGATGCGTAAGGTACTCATCCAAAGTCTGGCTATACACCAAGATTTTGTTGAGAGATGAGCACGAACCGGTCCAACATGTTGCGGAATTTCGTCGTCATTGCCGCTTGGAAGGTGGCTGGGGCATTCGTGAGGCCGCATTACGACCCACTCGAAGTGCCCGTATCTTGTTTTAAACGCGGTCTTGTACCGATCCCGTAGATGGATCTCAATTTGGTGGTATCCCGACTTAAGGTCCAACTTGGAGAAGTACGTGACGCCGCCCAAACGTTCGAGAAGATCATCGATTCGCGGGAGCGGGCCATCATTCTTAACGGTTTGTGCGTTAAGTTTGTGATAGTCAATGCATAGCCGCAGTTCCTTATTCTTCTTCCGGACGAAGAGAACAGGTGCACCGTAGAGCGAGCAGCTAGGGCGAATCCAGCCCTTGGCAATGAGGTCGTCGAGTTGCATTCGAAGCAATTCGAGTTCCTCCTCACTCATGCGGTAAATACATCCGTACAGCCCTGTCTTCGAGAATGATTTTGTGACGAATTGGCCGATCCGACACGATTCTGGCAGGAGCTTCGAACACATCGTCGAACGAGTCAAGAAGCGTTACGACGCGTGGGTCCGGTGGCACTTCCATTGTTGGCTTGTCGGGAGGAGGGAGGGCGTGCAAGAAGCAAATGCCCATTTCTTCCACGTCTTGTCGGGTGATGGAGTTATGAATGCTTGCCGCGGAGACCACGTGACAACCAATCGAAGGGTGAGACGAAGGAACCGTGCATGGGACGAGTATCCCGTTCCGATCACAAACGGGAATGGTATGGCGATAGAAGTTCACCGGATGGTCCTCGCTTCGCAGCCACAACATGCCCGAGATCGTGTCAAACTTGGTGTCCAAGATGTCAAAGGACACGGTCTTGCATGCCTGCAGGGCGAAGTACACGAGCACCACGTCAATGCACCGGTCAATAGACTTGTGCGTGTGACCGTCTACCAACGTGGCTTGCGTGGGCTGTGACTTCCTTCGAACGTGCGGGCCAAGGTTGGCGTGCGCCATGAAGTCTTGGCTGATGTAGTTGCGAGTAGCTCCACAATCGATCAAGGCACTGCAGGCCGCCTTTCCGATCTGAATGCAGATGTAGAGTAACGGTGCGTCGATGTTGTCGTACCGTTGCGTGGCGTACTCGCGGCCGATCTTCACAATATACTCGCGACGGTCAACAACCGCTACTCCGTCATCCGTCAACGGAGCTGGTACTGCAGTGTGCAGATACCTTTGTAGCTCCGCCATTAGGGCATTACAATGCGGTTTCGGCAATGAACCGGATGGGGGAAGAGGCAACCATTGGTAGTCTTCCGTCGTCAACGTGTCGAGGTCCTCAAGTCTTGACCACACGGACGAATCCCCAGATGATAGTGTCGGCGATGAAGCTGGTTCCCTCGCCGATGGTGATGAAACCGCCCATACGTGAGTGTCTTGCACGCGGAGGGGTAGGTCCAACGGAGGGACCAGCTGGACAGCATAGTCTTCGAAGTCGTCCCAAAGACGTGCGACATCTGCATGCTCCCTGAACATGTGGGAGGTCGCTAGCGAGGCAACCGTGTCCAGCGAGATGGGAAGTGGAGTCGCCTCACTTCCCACGGAGCTCAGTTTCCCGAGCTTTGCCATGAGCGAACGTCGTCTTTGCCCTTGTCGGGGCATTGAGTCGGAGTGTGCGTGGTGCTATTACACCAAAAGCAGCATCCGTACTTTTGGAGGAGCTTGTATTGCTCCACCGTAAGACTGAACTTTGTCCATGGATGGTTCGGTTGTCCGGCTTCCAACGTCAACGCTGCTTTGGCCTTCTTCTTTCGTGTGTTGTTGCGTCGAGGCGGAAGGGCGTTGACTCGGTCTCCTTCACTAGACATCGAAGTCAACGTCGGGTCTTTGTCTTGTCCGCTTGATTGGACTGCCGCGACAGGCTGCGTCCGTTGTCCTTTACCTTTCTCCACAAAATTCGGCTGGCCTTGCCGTTCGTTGACGGCGCCTCGATTGGTTTGGATGAGGGAGCGAGCTTGAGTTACGATTGTGTTGAAATCTTCATAGTCCTCCACTCGTCCAAGTGCTTGGGTCAAGGAGCCGACCGATCGTTTGAAAAACTCGCGTTGAACAGTAAGTTCAGATCCGGAATGGCAACAATCTTTTGCCATTCGGTCAACCATTCATGCGTCGGCTGGCTTGCTAGGTAGATTTGGAAGACTTTGTTGATGCCCTTGGCAACCTCAGCCTGTACAATGAACCGTGCCTTCCACATTCCACTGTGTCCCAGTCCAACTTGGTGTGCAAGCAGTCCATGTTGACTCCTTCCTTGACCGCGAGGTGGTTGAGCCAGACTTGACACGCACGGTTGGAGTTGAGGTAGAGGGCAGGGAGCTTAAGGTGTTCGGGGACGTCGTGGAAACTTAGTTCCATGGTAAAGCCTTGCTACCATGCCAGTGGGTCCTTCTTGGTGTAGTCGTCGAACTTCTCAATGTTGACGTTTGGCATCTTGTACGGGCGTGGGGCGACGTTGCCGGCTGGTTTCTGCTGCATCATGCGCACATCGGTCTTCACTGGTCTCGCGAGCATGCCCAGGTCACCGATTGTGAGTTGTTGGCTGATCATTACTGCTCGCGAGCGTGCCCAGGTCACCGATTGTGGCGACCACACGATCAATCCGTTCCTCCAGCTCTCGCGTCGATGACTCGCTGCTACTAGGTCCAGCATGCGCTGAAGCGGCATCGTCATCCTCCAAGTTGTCTAGACATGCATTGAAACTGTGATTCGTATGACTGTGCATGTCGCGAGTTTCTTTGATGACGTGCTTGAGCCGCTCTAACTCGGGCTGTTGCCAGTTGCAGGTCAGCAGGAGTCTTGCGATAAACTTGGAGATGTCATCCTTCGTCTCCTCTTCTGCCGACGGTTGGCTGTGACCGTCCGTTGGGGTAAAATGCCAACCGCGCAGAGTGGATGCGCACTCCAGCTCTTGCTGGTGCAGGCTTGCTGCAACTTCTTGTCGGAGGCGCTGGACGGCATTTGCTGCTGCCTCCTGCTGCCGATGTTGAGCTTCAGCGGCTTCCTGCTGTCGCCGTAGCAATTCAGCTGCAGCGTCGGCCTGCCGCTGTTCCTCTTTGGCCACCAGCTTGCTGACGGCGAGGACGTGGGTGGCAAAGTCCGAGATGGACTCGCCGGGCTGTTGGCCTGTCATGCCTTGGAGTACGGGACTGCCAAGTTCCCATTCCCCACCGGGACTGCCAACCTGTGAGACTACAGCACCTCCGGCAGCGGCTGACGTGGCCATAGTTGTGGTCGGTGTCGGCTGGGGTGTCCGAAGGGCTGGTTGGGGTTCGGCTCGTGCGGGAATGGCGCCCTGCTGTTGAGCGGCGAATCGTGGACTGCGCCTGAGCATTCAGGCTGCTGATGTGGCAACTGTGTTGACGTGGCACTTGCTAACGTGGGAGATGCTAACGTGGCTCTTGCTGACGTGGCAGATGCTGACATGGCACTTGCTGACGTGGCACATGCTGACATCGCAGATGCTGACGTGGCACTTACCAAGCCGAGAGAAAACAAGAAGAGGACGGGGAGGGGGAACAATGCACGCAAGCAAACAGAACAACTAATCAACGGAATAAAAAAAAATGAAAAAGAAAAAGAATCGTGCAGTGACCCGCTTCATATGCCTCATTGAATGTCTAAGGGCCTGGCCAGGCCACAACCTGGACTCAGGCCGAAGGGGCAAAAGACCCCCCGAAGTGGTGCCAGGGCCTGAGCGCCCGACAGTTGACTTCAGTCAACTGCCTGAGGCCCAACAGTCACAGTCAATATGGACCCAGCCCAGGCCGCCGGTCAGACACACACACTTGTTTGTATGCAGGTACCAAGACAGCATTCGGACCAAGTGGAAGTCTGCAACTGTATGCGATCGAGGCCCCCGGCTGTGAGTCAATCTGAGCCACCGTGAGTGGGAGACCTGAGGCAGGTCAACTCGGTCTATCACTACATAAGACCCTGCCTCCAGGGAGTCCACATTCAGTCTTGCTATGCTGCCTTGACGCTGACTTGACGCTAGCTGGACGCTGGCTTGACGCTGGCCTGACGCTGGCTTGACGCTGGCTGTACGCTGGAATTGTGGACGACGACGCAAGACTGCTGCTGCACGTTGGCACCTTCTGCTTTGGCGCCAGCCTATGCTGACATGGTGCAGGGCCACGCTGTCTTCAACATTGCTGATGTGGCACATGCCACTCTGTCTTCATTGCTGACGTGGCATTTGCTACATTGTCTAGATTGCTGAGTTGGACGCGACAAGGAGGGAGATCAGGATCTGTGGATGATTGAGAGGGAAAGGGATACTTACCTGTGGCTGATGTCGATACTGTGCGCTGCTGGTTGTCTCCAACGTCTTCACGAGAGAACTGTGCCACGTGGCACTTCGATGTGATCAGGACCTGTCAGGCTCGTTACTGGATACTGTTTTGCTGACGAGGAGGAGGGAAGCTCGGAGAAGGAGTGGGAACTGTTGGGCTACTCTCTTTGTGGTCATTGATGGTTACTATCTCTTCCACTTTCAAATCTGTATATTCCCCCGCCACTCTCTTCGTCTACTGGAAACGAGACGTTGTATCAGAGATTACATACATGATTATTGGAGACATTGTTCAGAGTTGATTTACTTTGCATTTCGACATCTGGCGAGTACCTTACAGACTGGGTTCATTACAATCGTCTTTTTTTTGTGTGTCAGTTAGGCATTTGACATTTGTCAGTGGGTAATTAGATACCCAGCTGACAGCAGAAGCATCAGCGAGTAAGAAGAAAGAAAAACATTTCGTGAAAGTTCGGAAGGAAATAATTTCGGAATTGCGTATTTTCCAGCAATTTACAAAAATGTGGACTTTTGGAAAGTGGCCAGATGGGGAATTTTGGAAATTTCGAACTTTTTCTGCTTTTGCAGAAACAAGAAGAAGTAATCACAAAATTTGAAAATTACCGCAATCTACTACTTTGCCTTGCTCTGAAAAAAAAGAAAAAAAACGTTTTTTTTTGGGGTAATCTCGATTAGTCCTATTGGGAACCACAGATTTTGCAAATGTCCAGAATTTGCGGAATTCGCAGAAATCTCGGAATTCCGAAATTCGCAGAATTTCCGGAAGTTCGATGCTTCTGTAATGAACCCAGTCTGGAAGATACTCATCAGATGTCGAAGCACAAGTAGACTCCGACCTGCACAATGTCTCCAGTCAACGTGACGTGATATCTCAAACAATATCTCGTTACCAAAGACGAGGAGAGTGGAAGGGGAATAGTTAGAGGAGAAGGTGGAAGAGATAATCAATGAACACACAAGAGTAGCCCAATCCTTTCCCACTCCTCCGGGCTTCCCCTCGCCTCCACGTCAACAACCAATATACAGTAACAAGTCTGATAAATCTTGATCACACGAGATGCCACGTGGCACTCTTATCTCGTGGAGACCATGAAGACAACAGCAGAATACGGTAACGACGTCAACCTCAAGTGAGTACCAGATCCCAATCATCCACAGATCCCGATCTCCCTCCTTGTCGCAACTGGTCACCTCATGTAGACAGCGTGGCCAATGCCACGTCAGCTATAGAGACAGGTGGCATGCGCCACATCATCAATGAAGACAGGTGGCAGTGCCACATCAGCAAAGCAATGTAGACAGGTGGCAGCCCCACATCAGCAATGTAGACAATTGGCATGCGCCACATCAGCAATGTAGACAAGTGGCATGCACCACATCAGCAATGTAGACAAATGGCATGCGCCACACCAGCAATGTAGACAAGTGGCATGCGCCACACCGGCAATGCCTGGCGCACAAAAGAAAACGCCAGCATGCTGCTACAGTCCCGTGTCGTCGTCCACAGTGCCAGCGTCAAGTCAGCGTCCAGCCAGCGTCCAGCCAGCGCTCTGCTAGTGTCCAGCCAGCGCTCTGCTAGCGTCCAGCCAGAGTCAAGGCAGCATAGCAAGACTGAATGTCGACCTCCTGGAGACCAAGCCTTAAGTAGTGTTTGGCGAGGCTGTTGGGCCTCAGGTCTCCTTCCTACAGTCGTACAAATTGACTCACAGCCGAGGGCTTGGATTGTGTACAGTTGCAGACTTCCCTTAGTCCTAATGCTGTCTGGGTACCTGCATACAAACAAGTGTGTGCGTCTGACCGCCGGCCTGGGCTGGGTACATTTTGACTTTGACTGTTGGGGTCCAACAGTTGACTTTCGTCAACTATCACTCGCCCAGGCCCTGAATCTCTATGTGGGGTTCATTTTCCCCAATGGCCTGGGTCTGAGGGCGGCCTGGCAAGGCCCTCAGACTTTCCACGAGGCATACTGCATGGGTTATTGCATTCTTGCCGGCCCGATTTTTGAGTTCCATCGCAGAAAAGACATTAATTTTCCTTTAAACCGTGTTCGTATGCAGCAACAATGTCAGGAGCAGTAGGTAAGAGTTTTTTCTCACTAAACTATCTGGCTTCAGACGGAGGTTGAGACTTGAACTTTACCTTATACTACTTTTGTGGTCTTCCTCTGCCACCCGTAGAAAAATAGCCATGTTCCAGAATCTTCTCAACTTTGTCTCCTCCATTCATGGAGGGTGGAAACATAGATGGCCTGTTAGGAAAATTATATTTTTCTACATACAATAGCTGTTTAGAACTTTAGACGCATGGAAAACAGGATAGATCCTCAGGCGTGGGTGAACATCTATTCCATAGGAAGGTCCATCTGCATCCCCAATCACTTTGAGAACTTCCCAGGGACCATGGTAGACACGCAGCAGTTTTTGAGACACGTTTTTTTTCAAGGCAAATTCTTTAGATTTCACCCAAACCAGATCTCCTTCTTGAAACTACGATGGTCGACGATGTTTGTTTGTAGCGGACCTCTAATTGGCCTGTGAGACCAGCCCCTTGGCCTGTTCTCACAGGCCTGTGTTGTATTTGGGGTAGTCCAGTCCAAGTCGGTACCTCTGTCGGTACCAACCAGTCCAGTCTAGTCCAGTCAGTCCGTTGGGTTATACCCCAACTGTTGTTTGTTTTTTAGATCATTCTACATTCTCACATTTTGGAATACGTGCGTTGGAGTCCAGCGTGGGAGCTGCGTTGTGCCATCTCGCTCCCCCTTCATCCTCCATCTCCATCTCTTTCCCAGGCGGAGCACCACACCTGGTGGGTCCGCCACATTGTTGGTCTGCTCAATCATCTGAAGTTGGTCTTTTTGTATATTTTATTTTACCTTCTTAATATCTTCTTCATAAAAAGCTGCAAATTCATGGGTTCCTGGGGTTAACCTTTGAATCTGGTGCTGAGTTTAAGCATCAATGGGACGTCGAGGCTTCCAACCTTTATGCAGTGCATTAGGCGTCCTACCTGTAACAGTATGTATATTGTTGTTATAAGCACTAACAATCTTTGGTAAGTTTTGATCGCAATCTATTTGATCGGGTCAGGCACGTATGCGCAGGAGTTGTCGGCACAGACGATTCATCTGTTCAGTTTGGCCATTCGTTTCAGGATGTCTTCCTCACGGCATGGTCAACCTGGTGTCATAGACTTCCATTAACTTATGCCATTGTAGAGTAGTGAACCAAACATCCTTGTCAGAGACGATGGTTTTCGAGAATCCATACTCAGAAACCCATCGCATCTGGAACTTTTGGATGACCAGTTCAGTTCTGGCTTCGGCAGGCAAAGGAATGAACATACTTTGAGAATCTATCTACAATGACCATTACCTTATTATTGCCATTTCGACTCTTAGTAAGACTCATGAAGTCTATAGAGATAGACTCACCTGGCTCACTTGGTATAGGCAGTGGTCTTCGTAGTCCCAACGGATTTTCATGCGAGGGTTTGTTCCTCTAACGAACAAGACAAGTTTGCACATACGTTAGTACATCCTCTTTCATTCCATTGCATTCAAAGCGTTCTCGGACATCATTATACGTCTTCTTAAAACCAAAGTGACCCTCAACATCATGACATTCCCCAATGATTAAACCACCGCTACCCCCCACGTCCTAAAGTCGATTTCTCGGGGAGTTAGGGTCGTGAACGGTGCGGGGTCGGCAACCCAAAAAAAAAAAAAAAAAAAAAAAAAAAAAAAAAGTGAAAAAGTTGGCGCGCGGTTCTTAATTCAAGCCCTACACTTTTGATCTTCTTTTGTTTTTTTTTGTAGGGGAGAAAAACAAAAAAGCCACGCGGTGAACCTTGCAACACAACACGGAAATATACACCACAATCATCCATGTGTGTCAGGGGGAGTGGATTGAGGCATGAAATGAGGTGGCACCTGCAGTTACGTTTTCGTTTTCTTTTTGCAGAGTACAAAAAAAAAAAAA